AAAAAAAAAAAAAAAAAAAAAGTCATTTTATATGATTGGAATCCAGAGTTGAAAGGAACCATGGAACCATTAAATATTTGCTTGGTAATCTAATGTTCCTAAAAAAAGATGAAATTCATGTCTTCTGACGGTATGTCTGAAAGTTGTCTCACTCATTGCCAGCACACCCTCTGATCTCTGGAGAATAATAAATGCTCCTAATGCATTATTTGCCCTGATCAAAACTTGAATTATGAATCTTTCCAAGAAACGTAATAGAATATTCTATTCTACTTCATTTAATGTAAAGGAAATCTAGATGACTAGCTAAGACTTGGGCAATGAAAGCAAATAGTCATTAGACATCTGAAGTTAGGTACGTGAATCCTGCCCACTCTGACAGCACCCCGAAACCTCATCACTGTTTCTGCATTTCAAGAGGTTGTCTTCAGTGCCAGCACTCTATAATTAGAAAGCAAAGAACAGTCTAGAAGGCTCCAAATCCTTCTCTGCTACCGTAAACTATCAGCCTTAGCTTTTATTGTTTCTTCATATGTACATCTCTACTGTTCTTTGTATCCTTTAAGCCTAAGAGACAGAGGAAGAAAAATTACCTAGAAAAAGCAGCACCATCAAAACTGAAGAAATAACAGCTGGGTCATTACTTGCCCTCACAGAAACCCTTTTAACATTGTCAGCTGCTCTGTACTTTTCTATATTAATGCAGAAAGTGGAGGCATGATGTGAATTTGCATCGTGAGGACATGGGAAAGTCGTACAGAGTCAGCTTGTTTAGAGGTTGTTCAGAGGGCCTGAAATGATGTATCAGACTTGAACAAGATTATGCAAATCATCATGTTTTACAGAAAATAAAATTAATTTCATTCAAACCTGAATTTAGGTTGTTACTCTATCTGCTAGTCTTGTCTTCAAGTCTGCAAAATACAAAAGTCTTTCAGATACCAAATGGCAGCAGAATGTTTTAGAGTGTTATTAAAAGGAGGAAGCTAATCTAGGCTGATTAAACTGGAGCCATCTTTCAGGAGATAAACTTCAAAAGATAAATGTTGTGTTCCAGTGGCTGGAAAGAATTCACGCCTGTCTACTATTTCCTTGTCCTGGTATTGGCAGATACCTGCAGTTTTAATGGACAGGAGATGCTGTCCATCTTAGTATTGGAACTAAAGCGAAAGATGTAAATTATGCTGGAATGTCAGAGATCAGTATGTCTTGGGAAACAGTTCACTTTTTTTAGAAGTGACTTTCTTCTGAAAGCCAGCATTTTGTGTGTCAGCTGTCCTAATGAAGATTAGGAAATAGGAAATGTGAGTAAAAAGAATTCACTAGTGAATTTGCAGAAGGGACGCTTCTATCATGTTCACATACATTCTTTAACTGAAAGAGAAAAGGGAATATGTGTTAAGAATTTGGTGATCTGACCCTTGTAATTTTTGCACTATTGGATATCATATAGGGGAAAAATTGTGACTGGGACTAGAACACTGAGTCTTCTGCCAAAATACTCAGCGGGAACATCTTAACGCTCTTCTTTAAATTCTGACTATGAATTGAAATGAAGCCTTTCAGGTGATTTTGCTGCACTAGGTCAGCTAGATGTTTTAAAAATAACTTTTTGCAATTTGTTTTTCCAGATCCTCAAGTACATGGATATGTACATCTGCATTCATAGTTTTTAAAATTATTGTTAAAAGATATTTATCAGATATAAATGCTATTGTTTTGTTCTTTGGAAAATTATTTGTTGAGAGAGCTCTCAAAACAAGAGTAAGAACATATTTTGGAATTTGGGGTTTTGTGGGGTTTTGGGTTTGTTTTGTTTCGTTTTGTTTTGTTTTGAAGCAGGATTAGCACAAAATTTCTCAGTCTTTCTGACAAAGAAATGTTAACGTATGTCATGGTTTACCCCAGCTGAGGGGTGGAATGAGGAGCAGAAAAGGCCTGTGTAACTCTCTGCAAGTTAATAGTCTTTTTATAACTTGTATTATTTCAGAAGGCTCCTTCAGGACTCCAAAGTTTTACCTGATCAGTTTTTTTTCAAAAGATAGCTTAAATTTAACAACCAAATAGCAACTTTTCTTAGTAAATTCTCCAAATACTCATCGTTAAGGAATAAATGTTGCAATTTTAAAGCAGTTGTTACTGGTTTGTATTTTAAATACAACAGTGGGGGAGTAGAGATGGGAATCCATCCTTATAAGGGTAAAAGAGAAATCATAATGATCATTCTTAAGCTTATCTGGTTTTGTCTTTTTTTGTTGTGTTTTGGTTTTTTTCCCCTAGTTATTGAGTCGGAAGGATAAAGCCACATTTGAAAAGTTGGAGTATGTTATGAGTAAAGAAGATAATTACAAAAGGCTTAGAGACTATATCAGCAGCTTGAAGATGACTCCTTGTATTCCCTATTTAGGTAAGTTGAAGTGTTGCTAGTAGGAAACACTAATGACAAAATGACAAACACACTTCTCCAGTAATTACACAAACTAAACACTGTCTTTTAAGCATTTGTGAAACTATTTGAATACTTCAGTAAAGAATCTATAACTGCTAGTTGATTATGGATACTCTGTGTTTGACAAGAGCTAACTTCACTAGCTTCAGAACGACAATACCTCTTAAACCTTACAAACACTTCAGATTTTACATACAGTATCAGTTTTCTAGGAAATCATTTTCCCATATGTTTTATGGATAAATTAATGGACTTCTGGAGAAGTACTTAAACGTTATGCCTGCTAGCACTCTTAGTGATAAATACTTGACTGTTATAGTAATGATGGCTTTTAATTTATGAGAAGGTATAAATCACCAACCTCTGAGATAAATATACATAGATCTTGGGCTTTGGAACATGATAAAATTGCTGCATTTAATTATACTAGGGTGGCAAGAGAAACTGGGTTGTTATGACTGACTCAGCTTTATGGAATAATTATGAGTAAATGACATTCCTCTGTATCTGAAAGCTAGTAAATGTGTTTAATATATATTGCTTTTGTTGCCAAGATAATCTAGTTTTACTTAATGTCTCAGCTTAGTTTGGTTAAAGTGGTCAGTGCACGCTTCCCCCCCCCACGTAGCTTTTCTTTGGTATCATAAGATATTGATAAAATAAGGAAATGTTTACCCAGTTTTTTGCTTTTCAAGACAAAAAAAATTAGTTGATATTTTTACAGATATAAGTTGCTTTTATGCCTAAATTCAGGATGACCTTTTTGTGGTCACTAAGGCTTATTAAACTGTAATCCTCTTGTTCCTGAAATTTGATACTTCTTTCACTCAGCTGGGCTATTAACTACTAAAGATAAATAACTTGACAGTTACCTTTATGCTGTGAGCTATGTGTCCATGGCAGTACTGTTTCGGTAGCTTCATAGCTTGATATGAATGACAATACCATCATTGATGTTAGAATCGAGAATGATGCCTCTAAAATGCATATATTCAGGCTTTGTGAAATTGGTTGAATTTTACATGCTTTATACTTAAATAGAAAGAACCCATTCCTGTGGAGAACCGATAATTTTAGTGACAGGTAGTTCTATAGAATCCCTCATTCTGTCTTCAGTTTTTACTTCCCTGTTACATCTCTCCCAGAAACATCCATCAGTTTCAACATGATCTTTACAGCTGTTAATTTCCTGTAATTTCAGGTATTCAGATGTTGATAATTACTTGTGCCTAGAATGGCAGAAGCATCATGAGCATATTTTGTCTGAAGGTCAGGTGTGAAAATTGCTGGTGTGGTATACCATCATATGCTACCCTGTTTGTTGACATAGCTATTAAAATTAGGCCTGAATTAAAAGGGCCAAAAAAGAAGCCAAGCATGTCATGTGGTTAAACATGTAATTTTGTAGCTTTCTCATCATGTGTATGGATATAGCATATATGCACTGTATATGGTTCTGGAATGCAGTTTCTAGCTTTCCAGATGTTTTTTACCTATATGCCATGATTTTTGAAATATGAAGCCAGGCTCAAATTGTTTTCTTGCTGGTTATAAAACTTCCAAGCCAACCTGCTGTCAGATTTTTTGAAATCTCATGATACTTGGAACCATGCCATTATGGTCTTCTGATACTTAACTGTTGTACAGAGAAATCTTTATGCCTTGCTGTATTTGTCTCTTACTTTAAAAATACTGCATTACTATGTGCAACTGCGTATTAAAAAAAAAAGGTGAAATGTTGGAAAACAATGTTTAAAGTTTTGTTCCATTACAGATGTTTTCCTTAATATATTAGCAACTTCTTGCCTAGCTTTTATATTAGAATAGTCTTTGACTTTTGATAGTTTGTTGAAGTGAAATGTATATTTCTTTTTTACTTAGAAAGAAAGAAATGCTCTTTGCTGTGAGCTGCTGTGGTTAAAGAATGTGTTGTGACCTGGTTTCAGATTATATCAATTCTTACTGATGATACGGAGAATGTCTTCAAGCCTTTTTTTTTTTTTTTTAATCTCCAGGGGAATAGCATACCTACTGGTGCACTCCTGCTAAAATTAATCTTGTAATATTTAAATAATCGGCAAAAAGAGCAAAATTGCCTTGAGACTACAGTCATGATAAATCTGGATCTATCTCGGAAGATTGGCTGTTGAGTCCAATTATTCTCATTTGATCCAAGCTTTACTCTCCAGTAAGACCTGAGTAGATAATGTGGGAGTGTTATTCCTAAAAGTTCCTTCCCAAGGCATTTTTACTAATGCAAGAGTCATATGGAACAGAAGTAACTTAATTTGCTTGTATTACTATTTTAAGATTACCAGGTTATAATTTTTGAAAGGATCTTTTTCTGCTGTTGCTGCTATAAAATCATAGTGCTGTTCCTGGTTTAAAATGTGTAGAAACATCTGCCTAAAAGTCTACAGTTCGAGATTGTGACTGTGGGGTGTATCAGCGAGGGGGGGATTAATCATAGGGTCCATTTCCTCTCAGGGTGTAAAAGAAGGGGTGTGGGGGGGCTTTCTTCACTGTAGATGTGGAGATCCTGCAGTTGTCATGCTCCCCTAAAATGCTTTTTAAAAGAGTGCAGAGAATCAAGCCTGCCACATAGTTATATTTGCCATTGCAAATCCCCTCTGGAGAAGTACTGGCACTCGTTGTGAAGAACCCTGTTTGGAAGGTCGTAGGGAAAATGAGCATATAAAGGAATTTCATCTGCGGTTTCAAGCATGAATGCTTTACCATTTAGAGGTTCCTAGGTTTACCCTTGTGCAACCAAATATCAAATGTGGGTTTGGAGTTTTTTCACAACCATCTTAACATTCAAAGATAAAACTTAAATAAGGTGGGGTGTTTTTTGTGTGTAGTCTTTGCAAGGGGAAGGGAGACATAGCAGTACAAATTGTTTTCTTATTACCACAGCTCTCTCGCTGTGGTCAAAGTAAAGATATCCTTTCACATTTAACTAGGGGGAGAAATAAGAATATTTTTCAGTTCCTTGCAGCAATAGGTGTGATGTGATTTCAGAGTTCTGGAAATTCAAATGAGAGCAGCACATTGTCAGTGTGCAAGGGCTAAGAGCTGTGCCACACCAATGAAAATGTTCAGCATTTGGCTCTCGTTACGCAGTGTTGGGATATGTTGTCGTTGTATCACTGGGCCAGCTAAAGTAGCCAGACAAATGATATATTTTGCCTTAGAATAAAAACCCATTCTTATAGGGAGTCTTACCATGGAGTTCTGATTAATTTGAGATTGCACAATGAAACAATTAAGCCACTTCTTGAGAAGTAATATTTTTATTTAACTAAGCAGTATGACCTTGTGAAATATGATTTATAGCTGTTTTTCAGGAGTTATATCCAGAAACAGAAAAGCTGAAAACAGGTTACTGAAGTATTCATCTGATGAATATTCAGCTACTTCAGTGGTAATGCTTGCAACAGACTTCGGAAATATATGTGAAAACTGTGTTTCCGATTTAGTAGAGGTTAAACTTTTTCAAGGTCTGTTTGGTTAAATTTGGACTGATAGTACAAGAATATTGAAAATTATATCCTTCCCAGACAGACTGCTGCTGAGTGTCCAGTGCAATAAGCTTGAAGGGTACTGCAGTGTCTTTTGATAAACTTTTCAAAAAAAAGTGTGAGTGAAAACACTGAACTTTTAAAGTCATTTACCCTACTTAGGAAATTCAAATTGAAAGCTAAGAACTAATAGTGTTACAGGTATTTGAAAACAGTAAATTATTGTACAGAGTATGAATCAACCTGAAAAAAGAGACGCTATGCTTTCCCTCCTTATAATCTTAAATCAGCAACTTACAGTTAAGTCTTCCCTTTCGATAGCACAGCATGTGTACAGTTTGAGCTTTCTGGGTTTATTTTCTAATAATGTTTAGTTAACGTCATCCTACAGCTTTAAATTGGGGAAGACTCACTTTTTACATGTCTAATGTATAAGATTTAATTTAAAGGCTGAGTGCAAGCTAATTTTACTTTTGGGTTTCTGCAAATTACACCTTTCACTAACTGTACTGAATAAACAACCACTGTTTTTGTAGCAGGCAAGAGATCCTTGTGGTAAAATAAGATCACTTCCAAGGAGAGGAAATCTGTCGGTTGAATGAACTAAAGCTGTCAGAAGTGTTCATTAAAGGAATGTTTTGGAGGGCATTTTCAGCTTTTAAATTTACCTGAACTGCTTTTCTGTCCAGCTACCGTAGAAAAAAAGAACAGATTATAAATATTCTGAATTCTAAGCATTTGCAATTAAAAAGCATTTTTATAGAACTTTTGATGAGGTCTGTATGATATTTGTAACAACAAATATTCCTTATAGGAAGAACAATTTCATAATTATCATCTTAAACGTTTGTGTCAGATAAAATTCTTGGTATTTGGGAATGGAACATAATGGAACTGATTCCCCAGCTACCCAACCACCCCTGCAACCCCAGTTGAATATTGGTGAGAGTTGTTGCCTTCGATCTCCAACCAAGATTTAACTACACCCCGTGCAGCTCTATATTATCAATGAAGATTTATCTACTCCAGGAATGTGTTTTGAAAGCAGAATGCTATTTTTTTCTCTTCTAAATTACAAATGAGATTTTGCATAGCGATTGATATCAACTATTTTACCATCACGATATTATTATTCTTTTAGCTACTAGGGTTTCTTATGTTAAATAGGGGCAAAGTTCTTTAAAATCCTGAGGGCACATACGAGGTGCCAAACAAATACATTGGTTACAGTTCAGAACAGCATATTTAGGCTTTGCGTAATATCAAATTAGGTAAGCTGTGTGACGAAGTACAATTATTAAATTTTATATACTAGAAAGAAAACTTTAGTTTTGGAGACTACCTAAAGCAAACATTTTGTTTCTGGTTTTGGAAGTATCTTGTTTCGATGAAGTGTGGTATGGCTTTTGTAAAGGGTGGAAAAGCATTTTCTAATCAATTCCTTAAATTATATGTTAATTCCAGTGGAAATTTGATATATAGAAGGTAGAAAATTTAATATAGACAGTATCAAAAGTTTTATATACATGTAGAGGAAGGGAAATGTGTATGTTCTAAGAGCAGCCCAAGTTTGGGGTGTCAGGAAGAAAACCCTCAGAGCTGATTTCTAACCATTCTTTTATTGTGTCAGAAGAAAGCTGTGTTGGAGTAAAACTTCCAATGTTCGGTGACTTGGACCTTCTCTTAATTAGTATGTGTGAACACTTGTTCAGACCTCAATCACTCCTAATTGGAACAGGGGAGGGGTCTCCCAAATGTCAAGTCATAATTTTAATATCAAGACTTTTCATTTTGCTATTTAAGTTCAAAGTATCAAGAAATATTTTTGTTTAATTAGGATCTTTGAATATTGAGGTTGAAAGTAAAAAGAAGTACTAAGCAATTTGGTTGTCTTAAGCTGATCAGTAATTATATACAATTAATTTTTCTTACATTAGGAACAATTTGCCTAAGTGTTTTACAGAAGGTAGGATATGCAGATCATAAGGAATTCTCTACATGACTAAGAAATCTTATATTTAATTCACCACTTCATATTGAAATGATTATTTGTTGCAAAAATCCCTCTGCTGCGAAGCTAGAATATTTTCAATTTTTGTGTAGCTTCTTGGAGTACATCTTAAACCTTAACCAGTAATATGAAATCAGATTTTCATTGAAAGTAATGCCAATATTTTTAAATAAACTGTTAAATAAGTAATCAATTTACACATTAAAGCAAGACAATGTCATTTCACATATTTACATTTAAGGGTTGAGTTAACCTGAAAAAAAGCATAAGCTTTTTAAGTGAAAAGCTTATATCTTGTCATATATCTGGATTTTTTAAACCAGCTTTAGTGACTGCTTACATAAAGTATGCTGGACTTGAAAAAAGATAAATATGCTTTGCAAGCACAAACATCTGCTTTTGTGAATGTGTGTTTAAAAAAACACTGTCTGTCACAGTAGAAAACGTTTCTAAAAAGAGAGGTGAACACAACAGGGAAAAAAAAGACAGGAAAACTGTAGACCTGCTTTTTGCAGGAGCAGATTGTGCAAAATAATGATTAAAAAGTAATATTTTATTTTTCTGGAACTCAAGCACTGAGAAGTTTATACGTGATCACTTGAGCACTGTGGGATATTCCTTCTCAGTCTATAGGTCTTATCATCATTTGAACTGCTTTCAAGGAGTAGGAACCTCCCCGGTACTCAGCCCAAAATACTCCATCCTGATACTTGCTCCTGTAGTGGCCTCCTCTGTACCACACCCCATTAAGGTTAGAGTGGGCACACGCATTGTACCACCAGCCGCCTTTGTGAAAATGAGCACAGTTGCCTGTGGGACAGAAAGAAATGGGTGAACTTCAGCATGAAAGAGGAGAAATGGAGATTAGCAAACACCTTCATGTTCTGCTTCATGCTTATTCTTGGAGGGAACTTTCAAGTACCTTATTACCTGTTGTGGCCATATCAATTGCTGTTTCTACCTAGATTATAAATTCTGTTGTAACAGCAACCATTGCCTGGAGAGAGGATTATTGACATATTATTTAATGTGTCAGCTGAACACTAAGGAGATCGACTCTTAGACTACCAGCAGTACTTATCCATGAGCTAACATTCAAGGAACTTGGAATATGTACTGTTTAGAAATACTTCAGTGAAAGCAATGTGGGTTGATACAGTCCCAAGCAACACGCAGGACCGCAGTTCCACAAAAGAGTTGCTTGTAACTTGTGTTTTTACTGTTACAGGCTTGTTTAAGAGTTTGCAAGATTTGTTCAGCTTTTATGGTTATTGACAGCTGAAAAAAAAAGCAGTTTGAGGTATTGCACTCCTCAACCTTTCTTTTACTGATGAGGCTTTAAGAGGAAAGCTGGAGGAAGAGTGTGGGACAAAAAACTGTCCTTCAAAGAGAATGAAACAAAATGATCTGCCCATTTCTCAAGTATTGGTACATAATTAAGCCAGTGCACAGTTGCAGCTCCTTTTGTGCTGCTCAGTGGCTTTAGTTTGTGGTGATAAAATTCCATTATTATGTGACCACAGCACTACTCTCAGAGATCACTTGGACAGGTGTTCTGACTGCAGTCACGTGCAAGTGATAAGGATGTCATTGAGCTAAATAAAAAGCTTGCTCAAGTGTGCTTGCAGTGGGGGTGATAGAATTTGAATTTCTGAATGGTGCAGAGGCTTGCAGGGGCCCTGTCAATATGATTTCTGTCGTAATCATAGAATGGTTTGGGTTGGAAAGGACCTTAAGGTCATCTAGTTCCAACCCCTCTGCCATGTGCAAGGACGCCTAACACTAAACCATGTCGCCCAAGGCTCTGTGCAACCTGGCCTAGAACATTGCCAGGGCTGGAGCATTCCTTTGGCAACCCATTCCAGTGCCTCACCACCCTCACAGTAAAGAACTTCTTCCTTAT